AATAGGTAGAGAAAGGAGGGCATAAGAGGTGAGAAAAATGAAGACGTGAAACTTAATGGCTTTACATGAAAGATGAGATTAAGAGAAGAGTCGAAGATAAAGCTAAGATCATGAACATGGGAAACTGGGGGAATGACGCAGCCAAAAATAGTAAGGTTGTGAGGAGAAGCAGGTTTAAGGGGAAAGGTAAGGGTAGAAAAAGGAGCTCTGCATGGATTCTGTAATTCATTGTAATCCCAACAGAAGAAGCCTTGGCATTCTTCATGCTAAAATGGAGTTGCTAAAGAGACAAATAAAGATGTCCTGTAGGTAACAGAAGTGTATATCTGAAGCTCAGAAGAAAAGTCAAGCCTAGAGCTATATAGATTTGTGAGTTAAGGACATAGAGATAACACTCAGAGCTGCGAATGAGTAAAATTGATAGAGGAGAGCATATAGAGAAAGAAAAGGGCCAAGAGGAATGTTCCCATTACACCACGAAGAAGACAAGGAACACATTGTAGGAAAGAGAAAGATCATTGAAAGTATGATATCTATTACAGAGAGGTGATGAATTTAGGGTAGAAAATTACATATAAATACACATAAAAGTATATATGCATGCATGTAAATGTATATGTGTGTAGGCACTATACAGATGTTTATTTCTTTCTCATTCCCCTTTCCCTTTCCCTTCCCTTTCCATTTAGTGGTCATTGCTTTTTGTAGAGGAAGGGAAACCAGTCTTCACTCCCTCCTCAACTTACACATCATAAGTAGAGAACTAAGTAGGGCCTAGTGAGCATCTGGACTCCAACTGTGAGTTTATAATCATGAACAGTTTCTGATAAGTTCATATAAATTGCTTAAGGAAGTGATTTCAAAGGAATGTGGTTTCCAGGGTACTTACAGAAGGGCAGAGAGATCTAGGAAGTAGGTAATGAAAATGGGAACACAGGGGGCCTTCACCATCTTGTAACATCCTGTCACCAAAGAATGGTACATTCCTATCTTTGATGAAAATTGTTGCAACAGACAGATTCGGATAAAGCAAGCCATCTCTACCTTATCTCTGCCTGAGGAAAATAGCTTATAAAATATTGACAGGTTCTAGTTGCCACCAGTAACTGGCTGCACTTCCCTTTAGACACCACTGAACAAATCTCCATTAGAAACGGGCTTAGCAGCACATCCACTCAGAATGCACTTTCCTTGGTCGTCTCATTTTGTCACTGCTGCTGCTGGGTTGTCCTAGTTACAATGCTAGCAGGTACTAGCACATTGAACAGGTGCTGGTATATCTGAATTGAGCTGCAGATATTGCAGAGTGTGAGGCACTTTTCAGAAGAAGAAATCAAAGCTATAGATAGTCATATGAAACAATACTCTCAAGCACTACTGATTAGAGAAATGCAAATTAAAGCAACCTTGAGATACTACCTCACACCTATATCAAATCGGCTAACATGAAAGAAAATGAAAATGACAAATTCTGGAGGGAATGTGGAAAAATTGAGATGCTATTGCACTGTTAGTGGAGTTGTGAAGTAGTCCAACCATTCTGGAGAACAATAAACTATATTCAAAAGGCTTTAGAACTGTACATGCCCTTTGACTCAGCAACATCAATACTAGATCTGGACCTCAGAGAGATCAAAGGAAAAGGTAAAAGACAAAAAATATTTATAGCAGCTCTTTTTGTGGTGGCGAAGAACTGGAAATCAAGGGGATGCCCACCAATTTGGGAATGGCTGAACATATTGTGACATATCATTGCTATGGAATACTATTATTGTGTTATAAGAAATGACAAGCAGGATGGCTTCTGAAAAACCTGGGAAGACTGATATGAATTCATATAAAGTGAAGGGAGCAGAACCAGAAGAACACTGTATATAGTAACAGCAATACAATACAATGATGAATTGTGAAAGACTCAGCTAATCTGATCAAGACAATGATCCAAGCCACTTCCAAAGGATCAATGATGAAAATTGCTATCCACCTCCAGAGAAATAACTGATGGAATCTGAATGTAGATCATAGCATACTTTTTTTTACATCCTTTTTCTTTGAATTTTTGTCTGTTTTCTTTTGCAACATGGTTAATATGGAAATATGTTTTGCGTGACTATACATGTATAATCAATATCAAACAGCTTGTCTTTTCAAGGAGGGGGGGAGAGGAAAAGGCAGAAAATTTGGAGTTCAAAAGTTTTTTAATTAATATTAAAAACTTACATGTAATTTGGAAATATTTAACAAAACAAATAAAAATATATTTTTTAAAAAAGATATTGCGGAGTGTGTATTTCCTAGAGGCAGCTAGTTGGAGGAGTAGGTTGATAGAAGACTGGGCAGAGAGTGAGGAAGATCTGATATGACCTCAGATAATTCCCAATGATATGACCCCGAGCAAGTCACTTAACCTCCTTCAGCCTCAGTTTTCTCAACTAAAATAGCAAAATAATAGCACATACATCTCAGGGGGTCTGTGAGAAAGTATTTGTAAAGCAGTACCAAGATATAGTAAATCTAGAGTGCTTAGACAACAGGAGCATCAGTTACCTACCATGATATAACTTCTATGACAATTTTCACTGTGGATATGAAACTAGAAGCAGGCAGCGTTCTGAACAAGATGACATGAGGGGCCAGACGTCGACAGCAACCTAACCTGAGACATTTCAGAGAGCTCTGAAGACCACAGCATTCTAAATCCAAACAGTGCCAGGAGCTTGAAATCTGGCAGCACTCTAACCACAGACACACGAAAGGAGGTGGAATCAGTGACAGGAGCCCAGGTAATTAAAGTCAGGACCAAAAAGGACCTGACCATCTATCCCATCTAACATTACAAGATGATTCAGAATCTAGCCCTAGTGTTAAAACCCAAATCAGGAACTGATGCTGGAGATATGAGCCAACAGAAGAAAAAAAATACAAATATAGGTCAATAGATACCCAAGAGATGCACCTAGAAAAAGAGAGAAATCACATAATGATTACAAGGGTGGATACAGAGAAAAAATATCTTGGCCACAAGGACTAAAGGGGTACATAGAAAAAAAGAAGTGGGAGATTTTAAAAAATGAAATTGTAAATGAAATAAGAGTTCTTGAAAAAAATTGGAGGGAGAATAAATACACTAGAACATAAGGAAAGATACCATACCCAAGTAGAAGACTTCCTAAAAATTAGAATGGAGCAAATAGAAGCCAATGACCTTATGAAATAAAAGGAAATATAAAACAAAATTACAAGATTGAAAAAATAGAAGAAAAGGTAAGGCATTTACTATTTATTAAAATGATGTAAAAAACAGGTCAAGGGGAGATACTTGAAATATAAAATATGTGGGGGTGGGGGAAGTAAGAGTTGTCTCAATATATAGGTGTGGCTCACAGATGGCACGAATAGAGAGGATCTGATGCACCATTAGCATTCCATCTT